AGGGTTGTGTGTGTGTGTAGCGTATGTATAGGTGGTGTAGAGTATGAATCCTTGCATAGATGTATGTGTAGGGTATGTGATACGGATCTGTAGACTAGAGAACAATTGCTGGAAGGAAGGAGAAAACTTAGATTGCCATATTAAAATAATTTCGAGTGTTGAATTGCATAACTATGAAAAGAAATCGAGCATGGCTCCTGTCATTTGCCATGTCATTTGATCGTTAGCGATGCTAGTAGTTTGGTTTTTGTCTTCATATCGTAATTGCCATCATCAACTCAAATTATTTTAATTTGGCAATTAAAGTTTTCTCCACAAACACATAGTTTAGGTAAAGAATTTAGATTTTAGGTGAGGAATTAAGATACTTACTGATAGATTTAGGAAGGAATCCGACTTGTTCTTAATAGCAACTCCTTTCAATGTATATACAATCTCTGTTTTTTTTTTTTTTTGTTCGTTCTTGGTCGGTGTTCGTGTTCGGTTCCGAGTTTCCTCGGAGATCATGAAACTCAAATTCGGTTCCGGTTGATGCTTTTCAAACCCCTTGTAAACAGTACAAAATCATCTCTTTCCTTTTATTTTGTATATGTCTGTGTAGAGTAGGATGCTTGTGTAGCGTATGAATCCTTGTATAGATGTATGTTTAGGGAATGGATGTGCATAGAAGTATGTTTAGGGAATGGATATAGACTACTAGAGAACAATTGCTGGAACTAAAACCATACACAACTACTTGTCCACCACCCAAAATCAAGGAGGGAACTTAGATTGCCGGATTAAAGGAACTTAGAGTGTTGAATCGCATAACTATGAAGACAGATCGAACATGGCTCCTGTCATTTGACCATTCACTTGATCGTTAGCGATGCTAGTAGCTTGGTTTGTCTTTATCTCGTATTTGCTATCATCACTCTAGTTCTTTTTAATTTGGCAATATAAGTTTTCTCCACTAAACATAGTTTAGGTGAGGAATTAAGATACTTTACTGATAGATTTAGATATAGCCAAAGTGATTTAGGAAGGAGACATGAATAATCGACTTGTTCTTAATAGAGACTCCTTTCGATGTGTATATATCTCTGTTTTTTTCTTGTAGAGTTCTTGTCTGTTTTTTTTTTTAATTTAGAAACAGAGAAGCACATTGGTCAGAAGATTACAGAGGTTTGAAGTTTCCTCGGCGGCGATCATGAAACTCAATTAGGATTCAGGTCGATGCTTCTCCAATCCCAAATGGTGTAAACCCATTTTAGTGTTGAAGGATTTGGTGTAGGATTTGCAAGAGTGTTTCAAAATTTGGTGTTTTTATTATGTGTATTGGGCCTAAATGGCTATGTTAAAACTTTGCATTCTCATGCTTTAAATAGAAAAATGGTTTCAAAAAAAGCTTTTAAATGGACTTTTTTTGTGCTAGTAGCATGTATTATTTTGATAACATCATCTCAACGATTTGAACTTCAAATCGAACAACACCAAGAAGAAGAAGAGCCATTATTTACCACGTTCCATGGTGATCTCTCTCTACCTCGGCTATTTTATACAAGTAAAGGATGAACAAAGTGGAGCAATATACACAGTTGGTGCTCACAATCTCTCATGGTCTTCTTCTTGAGCTATTACCAAACTTCTTACACTTGTTTCTCTCTTAATCCCTTTCTTCTGTAACATTGCTTTATAGTTTCAGAGAAAGAAAAAAACCTCTAGGTAAAAAGTGTTTGTTCCTTTTGTTGTTATCAGTAAAGGATCTTGTTCTCATTTGTTCAAAAAACAATGCAATCATGATCTTGAGGTAGAGAAAGAGTGACACAAATCTGCAGTTGGAATTGGAGCTTTTTTGAAAAGACACAAAACAAGAAATATTCCCCCTACAGACAGACAAAATTAAGCCTGAGGGGTTCGTTTCACAGAATCACAGACACAAGCCATTATTACATAATGTGATGGTTTTTTTTCACTCTTCTTTACTGACAAAACCAAAAAGACAACATGAACATCGACAACAAGAGAGAAAGACATAAATGAAGACAAAATTTTATGTTCCAAAACCAATGAATCATGACTC